TTTTTTTAGGCGCGGTGCCCCGACTCTCTCGAGCGCGTCAAAAAGCCACTGGAGCCTCCGCGAATCCATTTGCAAAACGGATGGACGCGTCCTCCAACATCGCGGGGGCCGCGCGTCGAGTGTGCCAGAGTACACTTTTGACAAAGCGAACAAAGCGAGGCGGGCGAAATGTATTCTCGCTCGCCACACCGAGAGAGATCCGCGCGTTCCTCTCGCGGAACGTACGTACGTTTCGTGCGCTCTCGATCGATCGCGCCGTCGGAAACCGAGGGTGAAATTAACGTGCACGAAGTACAAGAACGTGTCAATCTTAAATGTACAAATACTTCACCGCAAGTAAAATTGTATAAAATAATTATAACCAATATACGTCTCACACGGGGATAAATACAAGGAAATCTAATTTAAACAAAGTTAAAAACAAAATGAGACGAATCTTTGCTTAACAATCAAGCAAAGGACATTTAATTGTCTAACCCGAGATGTAGAAACAATTTGGAAATAAAGGAGGTGGCGCAAAAACGCGGCGTGGAGGCAATCCCTCTGATCTCGTTAATGATTTATGGCCTCTTCCAACGGGAGCGCTAGTCTATAAAATCGCTCTATGCGGCTTAACGCGTTGTCGCCCTAAAGCCAACCCCCTCCCGTTCCCGAAGTGCCCCATAAAGTAATCGCGGTGCCGGGCGGCAAATTGTATCGCTTTTCGATGTTAAACGCTCGGCACGCTCGACCTGCTTTTCATCCGCTTATCCGAAGCCGGCGCGCGTTCGCGACATAATTCACCTTCTCTCGCCGGCATTCGGAACGAGTCAATTATAGCGCGTTCTAATTGCACCGGCTATGTGGCAGTCTCTCGCCCGGGAGAGAGTAGTAAAAGGACCCGAACGGGGAATGTCCAAAAGGATCGCGAGAGAGAGAGAGAGAGAGAGAGAGAGAATCGCCCGCTCGTAGACGTCTTCCACCTGCGCGCGGGACGATATATCACTACACAAACGAGAGAGAACTTGGGGCCTTTTTATTGCCTTGCCAGGCGACGATCGCGGCGCGCACGGACAAAACGAGCCCGCGGTAATTATTGCCGTCCATAAGTGTTGCCGCTCTCCCGCGAGGCTTTCAATCTTATCCTTAACGGAAGCTGCTTCATTTCTTCCTCGTTTTAACCTTTAATGACGAACGTAAAATACGTAATAATCAGTGGATTATTGCGCAACATTTTATATTTTCTCTCCATGACCTTTTTTTCTCATAGAATAAATGAAATCTACCGATAATCTGTCTATAGGGAGCCTCATTTATTCTCTCACCGTTTCACTGTTTCAAGATTTTTGTCTGCGCACTCAATGCTACACGTGGATTTTAACGAGTTCCGCATGACTCGGAGTATCTACATTGTGAAATTGCACGACTCCGGTCGAGGATTAAACTCGCGACTTCGCGTAACGAAACAGTCAAGAGTCACGCGAGAGCTTCGGGAAACGATAAGATAACATCGCCCCAACAACGATCGGGGCGATTGTCCTAAACGCGGCCAAGAATATTCGAGGATTTTCCGTTATGGCGATGCGGAATTCTATCGAGGGTTTTGTGGAAAACTCCAACGAAAGTTTTATGACAGTATAAGCAGCGATATGGTCGGAATATCGATACCTCTACTTCAATATTCCGATACTTTAGGAATGTTCTGATATTTTGAAAGTATAATCTATCAATATTGTAGCGAGAGGGAGAGAGAAAGAGGGGGGGGGGGAAAGACAGAGGGAATCTTAATATCGAATATATACGAAGATGCATGACAAAAGAGAACAGCAGTCTGTTTTCTTTCAAGCGAAATATAAATTATTAATGCTGCAAACAATCATCCTCAAGTATCTTCGAATCTGCTTTTATTATTACAATATCTCTCATCTTACGTTAGAATTCTTTCTCTGGAAGACTTAATTTAAGAAGCAATTTTATGATAAGCACCGATGTTAGAAGATATTGATGTTTATCTTATGCACATGTATATGTATGCAGGTATATGTACACAATATTCTTTCGATATTCATAACGATCTCGATCTTCGTCTTGATGTATTCATGTGAGGCGAGGCGAACGGAATTAACAACGTCGACGCGCGGCTACCCGGTGCAGTGGTGGAAGATTTGCGATGCAAATATGTACAATATATCCGCGGCGAGCGTAATTAGGCGTTACGACGCCGCCGTTGCAGGTCGGCGGCTTCTTTTCGGCTCCCTACGACGAAACGTACAGAGAGCAGCGCCGCGCCGGCCGTCGCCCTTATCGTCGGTTGTAAATATCCGATTCATCCGCTGGGAAAATTAAGGCGTGATAAAGCTTCTCACAGCGCTATCGCGCACCGAATCTCTGAGCCGGCGCGGAGGGTATAAGGCGAACGCGAATACCTAATCGCGAACGCGAAAAATACGCGCGGGCCGCGCCGCTCGTAAATAGCCTGCATGCGTGCGCGCGTGCGTGCGTGCGTGTGTACGCGGCGCAAATTTAACGCGAGCGCCGCGCCGGTGGTATATACACGCCGGAAGCTACGCGCGATAGTCATAAAAAGCTTGACAGATAAACGTCGGATGCGGTTTCGCGGCGCTTCTTTTCTCCCTCCGCGCGTTGGTCGGTTGGGATCGCGTCCCCGCGGGGACGTGGGTGCGCGCGCGCGCCCGAACGCCAAACAAGCGCTACACTACGCTCTGTCATTCGACTTTTTCTCGTGATTCACATCCGCGTCCAGCGTGTATCCGTCGCGCTTTCGACGAATTCGAAATCGCGCGGATACGCCCCAACGGACTAATGTCCGTTCGTCGCCGCTTTCTCATCGGCGCGAGCCCTAAAGCCCAAGGACGACGCGCTCCGCGCGCGTATTGTCGTCATGGCATTTATGGTAATACACGCGTTATGCGGCAATCCTACGGCATCTCGTTCGCGTGTGTGTGTATTGTGACACGTCGACGACACGGTGAGAGAGCGATTGTGGTCTCCTTTTAAAAATTCAGTACGTGCATGCGCTTTTGTCTCCAGCTAATAATTCAAAGTGCCTCTCCAAAATCAGCATGTGCCTTTTGAAAAAGAAATAGCACTTTAAAGCTGGTGAGTTTTGAAAAGAAAACTCACAATTAACACGTTGTTGTCACAGCAGTTGTTGGCCGACACCTGACTTTTCAGTAATGGTCAGTATCGACCGATGCTATTCAAAACTTTTCAAACCACGTTTAGGTAGGTAATAAGTGCTATACAATAAAAAATTTTGAATGACGTGTACATTTTTGCAAAAAAAAAAATGAGTCACTGTAACACTACAGTGGTCCATTTTCGGGGGAATAAGATAGAATAATAATGTAAAGCAAAAAGTGCGCTACAGCGCATTTAACAATTAATAATTTCTATTTTTAATCATATTGCACAATATATGTTTGCGATAAAATAAAAATTCTACTGTGGCGTACAAAAAACTCGCTGGACAAGCAACGTGTTAAAAAAATTTTCTCGGCTTTTCAGAACTCCAAAATTATGTTTCGAAAATTATATTAACAAATTGGCGAAAAATTACGCAATAAATACATCATACCGATATACTTCACATACTTCACGCTAATTGTGAAATACGCTCTTGTACATCAAGGTTCTTTAAGGTTCTAGTGTTTCGTGCATGTAATATTATCGTGCGTGTAATATTATCTATGCAATGTATGCGTTTCGCTGATATGAACTTCCATGTGGACTCCAAGACGCCTATACCAACCACCAAAGCGCAACAGCACAGATTCGTACAGTCAACCGGGATATTAAGCAAATAAGCATCCGCCATCCCGCGGGATAACAATGATTGCACTGTATTAAGCACTCCCGGTGTGTACATATCCGATAAATCATAATGCGTCTAGCCGCGAATCGTGGGCGCATCCTGTCTGCGAATTTATTCTCAGCTCGAGAGCGTATTAAGAAATTTCAGTTTGAAAATATTCGTCGCGCGTGAATACAGTCGTTAAACCATACATGTCACGAGGAAGGAAATTCCATTGTTTGTTGTTAGAGATTAGTATTTTTTTCTTTTTAATTAATGTTTTCGCTAGGAATAAGTATTTTTTTCGTTAGTATTTTTGTAAGGGTTAAGAGCCGCGATTTCACCATCTCTCATAAAGGATCGGACTTTCTCAAAACGGTCCAGTCAACTTTCGACAGCCACTTACTTATCTATCTAGTAAGTTTCTCCGCTTGGCCTTCGATAGCCAAGTCGGAGCGTTATTTCGTACGGCGCACCGAAACATCCGCCGATCATCAATTTTTCACGTCGCGTTCGAAATAGCGGCGGATCGCTCAATTTTTCAGAATTAATCCGTCTGAGTGAAGGTTATCGAACTTGCAGGTTCGCGCGGCTCCGTTTCGCGAGGGGGGGGGAGGGGGGGATTTATTTAATGGGAACATAGATCCTCACGTGCGCGCGGCTTTCAGCTGTGACGACTTTCCGTCGGCGTGAATTTGCATAGGGAGAACGGCGGAGAGTAGAATGGTGGAGAGCAGAATCGCAATCAAGATCCGTCGTCCGAGCCGAACCCGGAGAAACAACGCGTTACGTCTCTTTCCCTCCCTTTCTCTCTCTCTTTCTCTTTCTCTCCCGCGCGGGGAGTCCGCCTTCGCGCGAGGAGCAGCGTGCGGCAACCGGCAACGTGGAGGATGAGGACAGGAGGCCCGTGGAATATATGCTGCGCCGCTCGTTGAATGCTCGTTTGCAGCATTCGCAGAGGGACCGGACAGAGAGAAACGGAAAAGAGTCAAAGGGGGAGAGAGGAGAAAGCCTCGTTCGAACGGGACGGGCTGGAGGAAGAAGTACGCGGAGAGCACGGGAGAGAGAGAGGAAGATGCGAGAGAAAGAGAGAGAGAGAGAGAGAGAGAGGGTTCGGCGTTCGGCGGGCCGGTGAGGCGGCTCGGTCAATGAAGGATCGTGCGCGGCTATCGAGCAACCCTTCTCGAAAACAAAGCCGGATTCTCACCTTGATTTATCGCTCACTCCCGCTGTGCTCCGCTCCGCTTATAACCGAGCAGTCGCAGCCCGCCGCGCCTGGTAGCTGCTCTCGCAACCCCGGCGAGAATTAATCCATTGTCCCTCGGTGTCCTGATAAAAACGGCCGGCGCTCGAGATTTTCTAGCACGCTGAATAAAACACGCTCAGTTCACGACGATAGAAGAAACCAGTTCGTCGTCGGTAGTCACTTCGCCGTGCTGCCGGAGGACAGAGGCGCGCGCGCGCGCGCGGTACACACGATACGAGCGAGCGATCGGGAACAACACTACGTCGGATCCGTAAACATCAGGCGGCGTTATACACGCGCGCGCACATGGAGCGGCTGGGCGTGTTGGTATGTACTCCGAATCGCGCTCACGCACGCAGGCACAACCGGCGGATTTCTCCAAAATATTTTGTTGTGCTTGGAGCAAAGCGATGCGCGCGCTCGCTCGCTCGCTCGCTCGCGGAATGACGGAAAACACGACACGGAGAGAGAAAAGAGGAACGCGCGCGCGGCCCGCGGGGGAAAAACGTGCGCCGCGACCCTACCACGACGACGGACACGGACTCACTGACTCCGAGAGTCCGAGGCGACGCGAACCCGAGCGAGGAGACACGAGCGAGTAGCTGCGGAGTCGGCGACGAAGTCAAAACGATCGCCGCCGGCTGCGGCGGGAGAGAGAGAGAGAGAAAACGTACAGCGTACAGCGGTGAGCGGACGACGTGGAAGGGAGGCGATACAGAGCGGGCGCGATCGGAGTTCTCGTGCGTTTCCGTCGGTTCTCGGCCGCGGGCCGCGGCGGCTACCGGCCCCTCGGTTCCCCCTACCAGCAGCCTTCTGGCTGGTATAGTATACGCTAGCGAACCGTGCAGCGTCATGCATCTCTCGTCCCTCGCTCGCTGCCTGCGCCACAGCCTCGACTCCGGCACTGTTTAGCCATGCACGCGCGCGTATGTATGTGAACGATACGCATATATACATGCATACTCGCGCGAGGAGCCGCGCGGCGGCGTCGCATCTCGGCGTGTGGTGCTGGGGTTCGGCGTGCACACCTGTGTGCACATACACGAGCGCGCGCGCACACGATGCGGAACGCGCGATGCATCCATCCTCCCCCGGTGCATCGCCGCGCCGGGCCGGGGCCACACACCACACGCGCGCGGTGACGTCACACGTGGCTGGACGCCGTGTGGCGTGGATAACGAGAGACGGTCGGCAGGATCCCTCCCTCCCTCTCTCTTTCTCTCTCCCTCCCTCCCTCTTTCTTTCCCTCTGCCTGCTTGCCTTTCTGCTCCGGGTCTTCGGGATTCACGACCACTTATTATCGGTCCGCGGTTCTCTCCTCTTTCTTCCTCCTTCTCTCTCGCTTTCTCTCTCTCTCATCTCCTTTCCAAGCCGAGCGACTTACTGCTTTCTTTTCGGGCTGGTTACGAGCGGCGAGACGCGGTCATCCCCTCGGCTCGTAGGTGGATTCGCTCTCGCGTGGTATTAACGACGTCTCGCGTAGGTACGGTCACGACCGGTTCCGAGGAGGAACCTACCTACCTCCTCGTATCGAGATCGGGACTCGAGGACACGAGGCGGGCGAGTTCGACGATCCCGGGGTCCGCGTGCGCGGGTCGTACGCGATAAACTTTCCAATTCGCGTGTCGCTGCCGGCAAACGATGCCTACCTACCTACCTACCTACCGGTGTCGCCGCAGCACGACGGCAAATATCGCCGATAAGGACGTCTGCAAAAACGGCGGCGATTAAAAAACGGCCGACTATGTCGGGAGGAGGCGAATTATTAATAAGTAACACCATCGCCATCGCCGTCGTCGTCGTCGTCGTCGTCGTCATCTAGAACACCTGCGAGATACGAAGCCGCTTAAGCGCCGCGCGAAGCTTTTTGTCGCAGGATCCCGGCTAAAAATACCGTCGGCCTTCGTTTTTTCTGCCTGACTGCTCGCCATTCCGTTCGTTATCGCGTTCGAGAGTGACGCCGATGTAAAATGGAGCCGTCCAGCATCATTGCGCAGAAAGATGAAGAAAGAAAGAAAGAGAGAACGAGAGAGTATCGCGTAACTGTCTGCCACCGAATTTTATGCGCTTTCGTGAACGTCACGTTGCGCCCACGGTATGGACGTTTGTGGCAGACACGCGTGCGAAAAATTAAGCGTGCGAAGAGATGTCGTTTATGTGTTTCGAAAGAAAAAAGAAAGAACTGGTAACTGGCATGTTTATTACGGCCGTAAACTTGCGTACAATATGTGAGAAGCCGAATATTATATTGTACGTCGGACTTTTTTTGTATAACTTCAAATTTTGTAATATATGTGTTCCGGATCTCTTTTATGCGAGGCATCCACAATGTAGATGACGGGTATAACAATACTCAATTACAAAAATAGGGAGTACTATAGTGTTTATATACTAGTGTTTTATATGCCGGTTTATTTTAATTTTAATTAATGTGCGAAGAGGACATAATATTAAAAAAAAAAAAGAAAAGACGCAGAACAAGCGTTGTATATGGAAAGCATTAAATACTTTCCTACATAAAAATCAGTTTCGAACACGTCAAAGAACTTAAAGCTGCGCATATTTGCGACAGCATATCTTGCATCATGCCAATAGCAATAGTCTCTCACAGATTCATTCAAGCTAAACATTCGTTCCGACGCTCTCAATGTCAAACGAATTCCGCATCATATCGCGATCCAACGTCAATCCCTCGGAAACCTTTCTCCATCGCTCCGCGCCCAGACGTCACTGTCGATACGCTTCGTCGCGGGTACATGTACACGTCGTCGGCTTCCTTTCAGGCGACGGTAATATCCTCCGTAGTCGTCGTAGTGGCCGATATTCGCGACGAGAGGACACAAGACCCTGAGGGCCATCTCGGGCTTTTTCCCTCCCGCTGGCTGAGGAAATGACAAGGGGGAGGTTTTGGGTTGGCGATTTCTCTTCAAACAGCGTTCGCCCGTTCGGCCTCTCCGCGCGTCTGCATCTCGACGGCAAAGGAATGGGCCGACGACGACGAGGCGACGACGGTACGGTTCGGGACAGGTTCCGATTACCATTTCGCGAGGCTTCAGACGTAGAGTCTAGAGTCTAGACGCTATACTCTCGACCGGACGGCGAATGTAATTCCCCGTACGAGCCAGGTGGTCCGTGGCAATCTCTCTCTCGGCTAGTAATCGGATCGAGAGGGTAAGAATGAGGCATGCAGCGAGGGGGAGAGGGCGGGCGGGAGGGGGATGGCTCGACGGGAGTTTAAAGGTCAAAAGACGAATGGCGATTCGAGGCCGCGCGAATTCCTTTCCGCGAGTTTGCACGCGGTCGCGCACTGCAGCTTATAGATCTAATTTCACAACGAGCTGCACTAATATACGACCGTCAAGCAAGATACGGCACGAAGTGCGGTACGGATTTGCTTCTCGTGGTACCGGATGATGATCTCTAACGCGCATAAAGTCCGTTTCAGGTTCGCTAATCGCGTTACGAGTACCGCTGCAGCCTAACGAATAATAGACTGTTTCGCTAACGCGATTTATCAGTGCGTTGCAACCTAACAAATAATAGACTGTTTTGCTAACGCGATTTATCAGAACGCGCTATTTGCGAGAGTGATTTACAAGCGGCGGAGGTATAATTTCTCTAACAATAAGGGGTGATAAGCATGCGTCGCGCGTAGTACGAACGATAACATTTACGCGAATCTATTTTGCCTTTTCAATTTATTGCTCTCATAACTGTCGCACTTTAATCGTTCTATTGTTACAGGAAAAGTTATAAACAGTGCCGAGATCTCTATGTCATCGTATTTCATTTTTATTACAATTCTTCTCGATAACAAAAAATATTTTCCAAAGTAATTTCATAATATTTTCCCTTTCATAATACAAGAGTTATTGCTCGATATTGCTATTTGGAAAAGTTTGATAAGGAAATCCGATAAAGAAAGTATCGATGTATGTATATATGCTGCCGTTTCGCTAAATCTGGCGAATGTTTCCTAGACGCGATAGAGACGGTGCCGTACAATGTTTGGCAAGACGAAGTTTTCCGAAGGAGTGCAGTGCAGCAGATACTCAATACCGCCGAGACGCATAGAGGTGAGGGGGACATATATGTGTGTATATATATATATATCTAT